GCACTGAACCACAGCAGGACTAGTAGGCAGAAGTGTGGCTCACTAGCAAACGCAGTGGGACAGCTTGTCAGCACTACTGCTGACTCTAGCCAATGTTATAAATCCTTGATTTTGATAAATATCGAGAGCCAGATTTTCAAAAACTACGGAAAGCCAGGCCTACACGATGGATCCAGGAGCTCCTCTGAGTTCCTAAGGATGGCAGCACACCCCAGCCATGCCTCAATTTCATGATGGATAAGGCTCAGAGATGCCTTAATCTCCATCTCCCTCCCCCATTGAGTTGGTTTCTATTAGGAATGAATCCTGCGTGCCTGGAACAGAAAATAATTATGGCAGGTCTGGAAGCCTGAAATCTCCAACCCTTGATTAATTCACACTTATCCATATGTAAATTCAGTGTGAATGTTGTCAGCACGTTTCCCTCATTAGAATTCAACAAAGGTTTAGGAAAACAATTGTTTTAGTAAAGGAACAAATGTAGCTCCAGTACTGAATTAAGTCTGTAAAGAGAGAAATCTTCAACTTCAGTGTTTAATTTGCACATCAGTACAAATCTACAGGGGAGCCCAAAGCCAAAACTACTACCAACACATCCTGAAATATGTTAAAGTCAAGACTAGTCATTGATCGTGGAACAAAAATCTGAGTACAAGGGAAGAAACTTATTGAACTGAGTGTGCACAGATCAAGGCTGGCCACATTCACAGTACGTGTGGAGAGACACACTGGTTTTGCAGTGGGATGGCCATGCCCTCCTCATGCGATCTGGTACACACATGCTGCACTTGAGGGCCAAAGAGGGAGGGAAGAAGTCAGAGTCATCTTAGATCATATATAAGATTCATGTCTCAAAGATACAGTTGCTGCCAGCGTGTACGAGCCATTACAAAAAACGAGGCATCTGCCTCTCATTGAAAACAGGCTGTCATACACACAGCACGTGACTTAAAATTTGTGATGGCATGCACGGGAAGAGCAGAATACTGAGAATGCAAAGCTGCCTGACTCACATATGCTTCTGGTGCAAAATACTTCGGATGCAATTTACTTCACATAATAATCATATCCATTCTGTGAGATATTCTGATGCACCCCAGAATTCAAACTGAATGTTACAAACTGTATTGAATACTAAAGATTTGATTTTTACCCACATATGAATCATGTGTACAGTCACAGTTAACATCCCTCCCTAGCCCCAAGCACCTGACAGGTGCCCAAGTTAAAAGTGGTCAACCTAGGTTCCCTCAAATAAGAGCTGGAGAGAGGGAAGTTCTCACCTTGAATCATCTTCTGGAAGGCTCCCTTACTGTATCTATTCAGAGCTCAGAGGAAGTGTTAGATCATGTGCTACAACAGGTAGTAAGAATACTTCCAATTAATACTAAGTTATTAAATGTAGACACAGTGGCTAGAGCCTTTTCAAACCTAAATGACAGCTAATTTGTTCTGAATAAGAAAAAATGCCAATCAGAAGCCCTAGCCAACACCATGGATTATTCTTCTGGAGGAAAAAGAACATCCTCTATATTATTAGAGTACTTCTCTACTAGAAAAGTTGATTTAGGAGAAATAAAAAGCATGTGAAACAGAAATTCTAGATGCTTTCGTTCCTTCTCTGGTTAAAATGTATTCAGTCAAAAAGCAAACAGAGTTGGACTCATAGCTCCCATACCATACTTCAAGCCAATAAAAATAAAGATGCTGGTTTGCTGTAGCAAATGATGCAAAAGCTAAGCGTGTCCTAGAGCGAGAACCACAGAGCTCTGCACTCCCTGTGAACGCAGATGTCGCAACTCTACCTCACTCTTCTGGATGTGCAAGCAGTGACCTAAGTACAAGCTCCCTGAAAGCAAAGACTTTCAATACAGTGACTGAACTGGTTCAAATCAAACACTTGGTCTGTTCTGTCTGGTGCACTATAAATAAATCCTGGAAAGTTGTATTTGAAGATTTCCACAACAAGCTTCGATATAATACCACCCTGGTTTTGACTGGGGGGTGCGTGGTGGGGGCGTCAGGGGGGAGGGAGGTCTACCAACCCTCCTTCAGATTCAAGAATGTTATCTTGCTACGGTTGCCTATAGATTTTAAAATCAGGAGGCACCATGTTAGCAAAGGGTCACTGGCATGCATTTAGCAGAAAACAGGAAATATAATTAAACATACAGCTGTGAGCTAAGATCTTTGGCAGGAGAAAGAGAGCTCTGGGAAGAAAGTGGCAAGGGCAAAGCACTATGAAGTAATACAGTAACGTGGTCAAGAGGGGGGCATGAAGCACGGGGTAGGGATGAAGAAATGAGAGTGGGGGTGAGAGGAGCAGAGAAAGAAGCACAAAGAGATAAAATGACAGTAAAAGAAAGAAGGCAAAGCATACAGAAGAGAAGAATGTACATAAGGAAAAACATCTCTCTTAGGAGTAATAGTTCTTTAGTAAGGGCAGGAGCCACATTGTTACGCAACAGGATATACTGTTTTCTGTATAGAAAGAGTTTATTTAAGCTTGTATGAAACCTCAAAAAAAAAAACAAACCTGTGGGAGAAGAGAAAAGGGGGGGGAGGGGAAAAAGAGAGTAACATCATATTTCTTTCGACTTTTAAACTGCTTTTTAGGTCATATTTCACCCTCCCCTCCCACCCCCCAAGTATTTTCCAGGATGGAATTTTCTTCTTCCCACTCCAGGATTTGGCGTGGGTAGAGCATCGCAGATGCTGCTGAACTCAGAAAGCAAGAACTTGATTCATTCTTCTCTTGATTCTTGTGCTATCATTTAGGCTGGGACCAAGCAAACGTCAAAGGCTGCAAGTCAGAAAGATAATTTTACACAGCTTGTGCATTCATTTTGTCCCAGCGTAATGGTGGTACAAGAGGAAGAGTAAAGATAAATCCAGTTCTGAACCCCTGCTAGTTTGTCAAATATTTAAGAATAATTATTTTTCCTCCTGTTCCAGCAGACTTATGCTCTAAAACTCCTCTGAGTTTTGACTGTATGCAGAGGGCAGGTTTCCCCTACAGTAAGACCAACAACCATTTTCCAACTTCAGAGAACAAAAATCCTTAAAATGAAGACAACCTCATACAATCAATCAGCAAAGCCCTTCAGTCTCACTAAACGTGTTCAACAAGTCCAGATTATTTTCTGCAAGTTTCCTTTCATTTCAGCCTCTGGTACTGTACAATCACACTGCTGGGTATCAATTCAGCACTCAAAAAGGATTCTCAGAATAAACCGTGATAAGTCATATGACATAAAAGAAGCTGCCCCCAAGATAAGTGATACAGTGTTCGTATTTTTGAAAGCCAAGGCTACTTTCAGTAAGAAAGATTCCCTGCTTACTTCATTTTAGACTTTAAAACAAACAAAAGCTCTAACATTTTAAAAGGTTAGACACATTTTTTACTCCCACTGTTTCTTAATAAAACACCATTTGTGTGGGAAACCAGCTTAGTGCATACTTTAAAAACAGGCAAACGATTAATTGATCCAACATGTTGGCAGTTTTAGAGAAACTCACTAGACAAGAACAAGCGATGCATCTTAAGTTTTGAAACAGCCTGAGCTTTACTTTAAGGGTGCGTAAGTATGCCAAGCTCCTACTACTTTATACTGCTTAGTATATAATCTGTGTTACTTAAAGTACCAAGAAGTATAATCTGAACAGCTACTAAACCATGTGCAGGTTATAAAGCACAGTTTAAAGAAGCTCAAGAGGTTATAAGTTGCTTGTCTCACAAAACCAATGGAAAATACTGAAAAAACCCCCATCTTCCTCCAATCCTATCAAAGAAACATTAATTTGCCCAAATAAACGGTTAATCTCTTAAAGAGGCTGCACACAAGAGGTTCCAAAAGCGCTATTTTTGCATCAGCAGTATTATAGCGTTATAGTTAAGCAACAAATTGTTTTTCAGCACATCCATACTAGCTAGTTTACTGTGGAAATTTAAAATGTCACTAGAATAACATCCTGTTTTGCAGCCTTTCTGTGTTTCAATTTACCCCTAAGTCTGCTAAGATTCAACTGGCATGAAACAGCTGGGCATGATTAGTTACTGGATGCAAACCAAACTGAGATTTCACAATAGGTGGCATTTTAGTCTCCATAGCATAGGCTGCTGATATAAAAGACCAGTGACCCCTGGCAGAAAACACTGTCCCTAAATATAAATCTGGTGATCTGTTTTTAAAACAACATTATTTCAGATCAAACATTATTACAAAAACAGTGTTTTCTGTGGGCGTAACCCGAGGTTTGGGTTGTTTCCGATGACTGGATTTCAGCTTGGTTCTGGTTTACGAGCACATGTTGGGACCCAAGCACCCATGTGCTGAAACTGCGAGCACAAACTCCATCAGAGCATTCACCTGGGGGAGTGACACCCCCTCCCCCCCCAGTCCTGGACAAAATATCTCATGTTCTCACCAAATCAGATACTCTGCATTCCTACTCGATCCCACAGCTTTTACACTATCATAGGCAAGGCAGTGGACGCTGTGTTCCCTACTTTATTGCACCTCCTGATAAGCCTGCACCGTAAACACTACGCCTTTCCTCTTCTGAAGGTCTCAGTCACACCCGGTCCCACACAGCACCTGCCAGAGGATCTTCAGGACACAACAAAACGTCAGTGCCCCACAGCGGGCTCAGGGTCCCATCCATTCCTCCAACTAGACCCAAACTTTACATCTCCCAAACTTTTCACCCCTGGAGCACCAGCGTGCATTGCTGCTAGCGGCACATCCGCCCTTTGCCACGGCAGCATGGAGAGGTGCTCCACGGCCCCCAGGATGGGCACCCACGACCCAGCAAGGCCTGCAGCCCACCCTGCTCCCTGCCAGGAGGTGCGAGGACACCTTCCCCCCCCAGCAGCTCCCACCCCAAGGATGCGGGACGGCAGAGCTGGCTGCCACACACAGGAAAATGGGGCCCATCCGCCCACCCAGCACAGACCTCAGGATGCGCCCATGGAGCGTGGGCAGAATGCCGGGGCTCACCTGCGTGGGGCATGGTGATGGTCTCGTTGGCGTTGCTGGAGCCCACGTTATAGATGACCACGGCGGAGGCGTTCTGGGCGGCGGCGTGGCGGATCTTGTCCTTGTAGGTGCAGTTGCCCCGTGGGATGAGGGCCACCCAGCTCTTGCCCGGCGCCGGGGCGTTGAAGCGGGTGCCGGGGTCGCAGGCGTAGCGGTCGGTGGGCGAGGCGGAGAGGGCCACCTGCCCGCGGGCGTCCTGCTTGGGCGACTGCTCGCCGTAACGCCCGCACTCGCTCTTCTCGCTGCGGAGCTCGGCGCTGCCGGCCGCCGGGTCGGCGTAGGTGATGTTGACGAAGGCCGTGTACCACTCCTCCTTCTCAGCCACGGTGAAGTCCAGGCACAGCAGATGCACGAAACAAAAGGACAGCAGCCATGTTGAGAGAGCCAGGCTGCGGCACGCTTGGATCACAGACATTGCCATCTTCATCTGCCGGGCCCCCCCCACCCCGGCCGGCCGGCCCGCCCG